ATACCCAATTCCAGCAACCGTTCCTTATATGTTTTAGCCTCCAGTCCCCTAATCATCTTTGTTGCTCTTCTCTGTACTCTTTCTAGAGTCTCAACATCTTTTTTACATCGTGGTGATCAAAACTGGATGCAGTATTCCAAGTGTGGCCTTACCAAGGCATTGTAAAGTGGTATTAACACTTCACGTGATCTTGATTCTATCCCTCTGTTAATGCAGCCTAGAAGTGTGTTGGCTTTTTTGGCAGCTGTAGCACACTGCAGCTCATATTTAAATAATTGTCAACCAGGACTCCGAGATCCCTCTCACAGTTACTACTATTGAGCAAGGTACCACCTATACTATACCTGTGCATTTGGTTTTTCTTGCCTAAATGTAGAACCTTACTTCTTTCACCATTGAATTTCATTTTGTTAGATAGCGCCCAATGTTAAAGTCTGTCAAGATGTTTCTGTATCTTAAGCCTGACTTCTGAAGTGTTGGCTATTCCTGCCAGCTGGTATCATCTGCAAATTTGATGAGTTCCCCATCTGTCCCGTCATCCAAATCATTGATGAAGATGTTGAAGAGTACTGGGCCCAGAACAGAGTTCTGGGGCACCCCACTATACACTTCCCTCCATGTAGATGCAGTTCCATTGACGACTACACGTTGAGTATGGCCAGTCAGCCAGTTATGAATCCATCTGGCGGTGATGCTGTCTAACCCACATTTTCTTGTCTTATCATAATTCTGACCAATAGAAATTGGACAGCAGAATAGCATATTCAGGAATATGAAAATCATATACTTGAATTACTAAAGGAGACTGAATTCTGTAAATCAGAAGAATTTTTCTGCTCCACCACACACCAGAGAATCTCAAATTTATTAGGACTCAGCCAGATACTATATATGATCAGATCAAACCAAGTAAAAATCCAAGGTTATAGAAAAATAACTGAACATTCTCTCATGCGCAGTATACGAAAGTGAATGCTTGCAGATCTTTATACAAGAGGAGTAAAATAATTTTTGAGAGGACTAGGTGACATTTGGAATTATTTTAGCCTCTAATATGTCCATTTACAAAATGACTGTCATTGGAGACTTGCCTAAACCCAAAATGAAAACCACAATGAGCATGATCATCTTGAAACACCCATCTCTTATATCACCAAATCTGTATTCTAATATTTAATAATTTTACAGCATCAAAGACTTTAGCAAAAAGCTCTAACAGAATCAATTTTCTTTTTTTAAAAAAATCTCCCTCCTAAGAATATTTAAAGATAACCTGGGGTTTAAATACTCTTTTAATATAGTATCTACAGATCAGGAGTTAGAGACTGGATAACCATTCTGCAAAGTAAAAAAAAAATATTTTAAAAGGAGGGGAGAAGCAAGCCAACTGTGACTGATCATAGTGAAAAGAGCATCAAAACTAAGAATATTTGCCTGGACAGAATGGGCAGGAAGTACCACAACTGTGATATAGCTTACTGCTAAATCGTAGCAGGTCTGTCATTCAATGCAGTCTAGATGGAGAACTGCTGTTGTGCCTCATTCCTTGAATCAAAAATTACTACAGAAAAAGCTACAGTCTGCTCTAGTAGCAAATTAAATAGCATACTGTCACAGAGAAAATAATTCAATTTCTAAGAAAGAACATGTA